TTGGATCCGAGTGGATTTGAACGTTGAACAACCTGTTGCGGGGGTTCCGCCAGAGCTTGAATTGCGGGGGCTTGCTTTGGTCCCGTGTGGCCGTGGGTTGTTTTGTTTGTTAGGACACCACCGCAGGATCCTAAAAGACTATGTAACCCTCTCATCAGGGCGTATGTTGAATCGAGGAGAGGCCAGGAAGACAGATCAGAATGACGGCGGTTTTGTGTTTGTGGGGATGCGTAGTTCTATAGTCAGTCGTATACCGGGCGATTTCTGGGTGTTGGATGGGGGGGGAACATCACCAAAACGTGCATGAAAAGATGATTCTTAACCAACTGCCAAAGTACCAACTAAGTAACAGAGTAAGCAATGGGCCCCTGAGAACTAAGTTCCAGCAGCCATGGGGGTTACCAAATCAATAATAGGTAGTCAGACTACATTGATGCGGAGTTACCCGGTTGTTTGGGTTGAGTTTGTATCACTCCACTGCAGTTAAACCTCGAATACGGAGTAGTCAGCAGTGCAAATCCAACGTAGCGGATTGTTAATGATGATGGCACAATGTAATGAATCATCATCTCTCTTTTACATGTTTATATAACTATCTCTATCTTCTCGATCTTCTCGATCTCCGACGCCGGCCCCCCTGTAGTCCGATATACTCTACATTGGATTGCCATGGGTCCAGCAGTACTAGCGGTAATTTATGGCACCCCTGGCAACGGTTGGACCACACTCGGGCAGCCAACGACAGACTGCCGCACGTGAAAGTTTGTGTATCAGTACCGTCATCAATGTATCAATACACACCATCCCGCTCGACAGCCGGGCATGAGGCCACGACGGTATAATACCCGATACCTGTTAATACCAATACAACCCCTCGCGGCCAATCCCATCGCCCAACGTCCCTCCGAGTCCCGTTTTGAGTCCCGTTGTGCCCTTTTTCTGCCCGTTTCTCCCGCACTAACCAAAATTCGCTCTTCTCATCCACATTTTCTCGATTCCCTAACCCGAAACCTCGCACCTCACCCCGTCAACTTCAACCTCACCCTCGTTCTCTTCCTCTCTTCTCCTCTCTCTCCCTTCCGCCAAGTCCCCCCTCCACTCCTCCACATCACTTCCATCATGTTCAAGAGGTATTCACAGCCCCCGCTCTCATCCAATTGACCTAATTTTTCTCGCCCATGCTAATATTCTACGGTTAGCGGTGTTGCCCGGACCTTCGCCAGGTCTGCCCTGGCGCGATCTTCCCTCAGACTTCCACAGAACCCAGCCCTGCGCTCGCTGGCCTCCAGATATGCCAGCACCTCCTCTGGACAAGTTGGAAAGATCCATCAGGTCATCGGTGCTGTTGTTGACGGTAAGTCGTGTGGTGTTCTTGTGGTGGGAAATTATATGGCAGGGTAGAAAATCACACAGAAAATGAAAACTATTTCATCCAAGGACAACCATCACCATCGATAGACATAAAATTATGCTGGTTTTCCATCGTTTGGCCGGGTCAATGGCTCTGATGTGGCTGGGATGGATATATGCTGTTGGAGACTTTTTTTATTTTTATTTTTATTTTTATTTTTAATTTTTTTTTTTTTTTTTTTTTTTTTTTTTGGCTGACCAATTGCTTCCGTTCTCTCATGTAGTAAAATTCGACGGTGAACAACTTCCTTCCATTCTCAACGCCTTGGAAACTACCAATGGCAACCAAAAACTCGTCCTCGAGGTAGCGGTACGTGTTATCTTCTCCCCTCTCTATACGCCAAATCCAATTTTGCTAAATGAATTGATTCCAGCAACATTTGGGAGAAAACGTAGTCCGAACAATTGCTATGGATGGTACATTTCATACTCTCCATACCCCTCTTCCCCATAAGGACTCCATCTAACCAACAATACAGGTACCGAGGGTCTCGTCCGTGGCGCCTCTGTTACTGACACTGGCGCCCCCATCATGATCCCCGTTGGCCCAGGCACCCTTGGCCGCATCATGAATGTCACTGGTGACCCGATCGACGAGCGCGGTCCAATCAAGCACTCCAAGAAGGCCCCTATTCACGCTGAGGCTCCTGAATTCGTCGAGCAGTCTACCACTGCTGAGGTCCTGGTTACTGGTATCAAGGTCGTCGATCTACTTGCTCCCTACGCCCGTGGTGGAAAGATTGGTCTTTTCGGTGGTGCTGGTGTCGGAAAGACTGTCTTTATTCAGGAACTGATTGTATGTTTCTTTCTCGTTTATATATAACATACCTTCTATTTTTCATGTGTTTCTAACGAATTCATAGAACAACATTGCCAAGGCTCACGGTGGTTACTCCGTGTTCACCGGTGTCGGTGAGCGTACCCGTGAAGGAAACGATTTGTACCACGAAATGCAGGAAACCCGCGTCATCCAGCTGGATGGCGAGTCCAAAGTCGCTCTCGTCTTCGGCCAGATGAATGAGCCCCCCGGAGCCCGTGCCCGTGTCGCCCTGACCGGTCTGACCATCGCTGAATACTTCCGTGACGAAGAAGGCCAAGATGGTACGTTCCCCCATTACATGTATATTCTTGCGCGCTTTCCAAACTAACACCACCTAGTGCTCCTCTTCATCGACAATATCTTCCGCTTCACCCAAGCCGGTTCCGAAGTGTCCGCCCTGCTAGGCCGCATCCCCTCCGCCGTCGGCTATCAACCTACCCTCGCCGTCGACATGGGTGGTATGCAAGAGCGCATCACAACTACAACAAAAGGCTCCATCACCTCCGTGCAAGCCGTCTACGTCCCCGCAGACGACCTGACAGATCCCGCCCCCGCCACCACCTTCGCCCATCTGGATGCCACAACCGTCTTGTCCCGCGGAATCTCCGAGCTGGGCATCTACCCGGCCGTCGACCCGCTGGACAGTAAGTCGCGCATGTTGGACCCACGTATCGTGGGCGAGGAGCATTACGAGGTTGCGACGCGCGTACAGCAGATGTTGCAGGAGTATAAGTCTCTGCAGGACATTATTGCCATTCTGGGTATGGATGAGTTGTCTGAGGCGGATAAACTGACTGTTGAGCGGGCGCGGAAGTTGCAGCGGTTCCTGTCGCAACCGTTTACTGTTGCACAGGTTTTCACGGGCATTGAGGGGAAATTGGTGGATTTGAAGGATACGATTCGTAGCTTTAAGGCGATTATGAATGGGGAGGGTGATGATTTGCCCGAAGGTATGTATTGAGTTTATTTTTTCTTATTCCCATTTGCCCTTTTTGAACTTAGTTTCGCCCCCCGATTTGTCATCCTGTTTTAGGGTTGATTGGTTGCTAACCTGATTTTGCTGTGATATAGCTGCATTCTACATGGTTGGTGACTTCGAGTCCGCCCGCGCGAAGGGAGAGAAGATCTTGGCTGAGCTGGAGAAGTCGTAATTTCATTACTTGTTACATGTAGCTGATGGGATGTAAAGAATCTTTTTTTTATTTTTTCATATGTTTTTGTTTTTAAACCTCTTGTAGATTAAGAAAAGAAAGAGAAAGAGAAAGAGAAAACAAAAATCTGGATTTTAATTGACCATCCACCATATGTCTATTTCTGCGGGAGAAAGGAGGTGGGTGAAGACGAATCTTTACCATCCATTTTCCTTGCTTCCATTGTTTTGTCCTCTCTCTCTCTCTCTTTTTTCGTTTTTTGTTGCAGTTTTTGGCGCCCCCCCCAAAAAAAAGCTGCTAGAATCTCGCTTTGTGATCACTACGTCTCTCCCTGGACGTGACTGTATTATACTGTCATATTCCATCCTGCATTTTCCTATGTACAGTACGGAATACGTTTTAAAATCTATTTTTTTTTTTTTTTCAAGTTATTTGTTCAACTTCTCACCGCTGACACAACTGCAGTGATTCCTCATAAACCCAAATAGTCTTGGAAGCGGAAGTACGGATTGGTCCTTTTGGGTCGGTGGTCAAAAAGTCCCACAACTATGCAAGGTTCGCCTCGATCTGCAAATTCAGGGATTCCCACCCCCAGCATTTGACCCCAGTCACCCGTTTCCACTTGACTTAATATGGCATTAAAACCACCTCTTCCTTTTTCCTACTTAAACCGAGGCATCATTTTGACTCTTTTGAAGACCCCATTTTCCATTATGAACGGGTACCAATTCTCTAAGGGGCAGGATTATCTGCAAACTTTGAAAGCATTCTATGAAAAAAACAATGGCCACCGTCTTCTCAAAAATGTCGCCCACGATTTTGTTCTTCTTTTAAACTTATCGAATCCCATATCTATCTTGGCCGGCCCACGCCTGCATTATTTACACTCATGGACCCTCCCCAGGCTAAAGCCCTGCCCATGTTTACCTTGCGCGCGACACAGCATGATGATCAGCCAGATGAGAATTCCAGGAGCCGTCATTATCTCAGCAGCAGCTTGGCAAGAGAGTCGTGCATCTCGGCGGAGGATCGGGTAACTTGGGATATTTGAAATCGTCTCTGCCTCATTACAACTAGCGACTGAATGTCTAAATCACGCTGTTGAACTAAAGGAAAAGAGCTCTCATCGCGAGAAGTATTAAAAGGTCAAAGACACGCTGTTAGGCGAACCTAGCGAAAGAGTTATCATCGTGAGAAGGGTATAAAAAGAAAGGCCCACAAATGCGCCGTCAAGACGTTTACTTCATCGCGAGCGGGAGACTTGCTGCCGTGAAAATCTTGCAATAAGTCCTTTGAATCAGGCTGAGATAGTGTGGAAAGACACTGAGCCAATGCCTAAGTATGAAAGATACATTGATAACAGAGTGGAAAACCAGCTGGCGCCTCAAAGGCAGAAGCAGTGAAAGTTGAGAAGAAACGCGCACCTTATTATAAATCGAGCAGTCTCTACCCGGCGAGCTTTTACAGCTTCTGAATGATAGATAGCAGCTTGCCGCGAAACTGGGATATGGCACTAAGGCAACTGTATGGCTGGCGTGAGATCTCAACCAGCGGGTCCTCATATGTCTGTCTCATTTGTTTCGGCCTGTTTTCTGGCTAACAACAGCTCCAGGTTGGCGCTGGCTGACACGACGTTATGTTCCAGTCAAGATCAAGGCGAATAACTGCATTGATAAAGAAGCAGCTGAAACACATTTTGACGAAGAAGGTATGTTATGGATTGCCTTGTCCACCTATTCAAATACTCTGCCGGATGCAATCTGCGCTCATTCGGAACCATTCACTCATCCACCTAGGCATATTCAAATACCCCGGACTGAACCCAACCCGCTCCGCCCTCGCGGATTCTCTAAAGATGATTGAAGGGAAGGGTATTCCTCGCTTTCATCCTGAGGATGCTCCGCTGGGAACCCGACGAGCGCAGTGCTGCGAAGAAACTAGGAAGTGATCTGTGGATAGATAGTTTTGCAGGTTTGCAGAGCACTACACGCCACCCGTCAATGCGCGGACGACGAGCGATGATGTGTGCGTCTTGTCCTTATTCCATGCACCACATTGCTTCCTGTGGACTAAAGTAAGATGATTCCTTCCCCCCCCCCTCCCAAACAAACCGGTTCTATTCTTCGCTTTCCATGAATATGCTGTCTATTTCCTTTTCTTTGCTCGTTGCTATGTCAGCTAAGCCTATGCGTGTGTTGTATCGCGACGACTGTCCTCAGGTGAAATTTAATAATCTCCGGCTGTTCTTTTCCAAAGCTACCCAGTGAGTTTGGCGTTTTACACTTCCCTCTATCTTCAGGGTTGCTGTCCCTTATCTCTCTCTTCAATCTCGACTGTTTCCTTTATTCCAGTTCATGAGGTCTTGCGTGATGTTTGCTGGTAAGGCAAAGTAGATATTGCACTTTAGTCATATGGATTCGTTCTAACTAGTTGCAAATGACAGACATGGATTCTGGTTAAACTAGTTATAAGACAGATGAGATGATATTTTTTGACAATTGCATGTATCATCAAATTTGACTCTGTTCATTTCAAGTACAATAGACGTCCATTTTGCTTCTAAAATCAAATCTATAATTATGGTTAATTCTTGTGATTGAATTTTTTTTTTTTTTTTGAGGGCATTACTCCGGATTTCACTTGATGTCTTGACCTTCTCATCCTGACTGGACTGATATGTCCAATAAATAATTGGATTCTTTGAGGCGTTGATTGCCGATGTCATTTTTATTTTTTTTATATTTCTTTATTTATCTTATATGCAGCATCTGATTCGACGCCCGCTGTCTGTAAGCTGCCTGCCCGGCGGTGCCTGATATACAGGACACCTAAATAGTTACGCGACCACGAAACTCCTGCAGCATACATTTAAATCTTCCATTCAACTTGGAGCTCATCTTCTACGCTTAGTTCAGGTGAAATGAAACTGTCTCCTTGTCTCGTTTTGTTCTCGTTGTTGTCCTTCCCCTTGTTCCGACCTGCAGTTCCTTCATATATCTAGACATTCTGGTCATCATCATTTGGCATTCAGGGGCTGAATATATTGATTTTAGACGACGCAGAGCAACAAATCTATCCTCCCCCCCTTTTCTCTTGTAAAGAAACTACTCTCTTTCTAAAATCAGTTATTTACGTTATTTCCACTCGAAATAGATTAAATAACATTTATATCCACTGTTATATCCAGAAACATCCTGTTTCCCCACGATTCCCCATCCCTCACAAGGCGGGAAGACTAGAGCATATTAATCCCGCTAACTGCATATCTCCTCGCCGCCGCCCCGAACCAGCAGTCCAGTGCCATCCCTGACCCCGCCCAACCAACCCACCGCGCCCATGTCCCCGTTAACCCTAACCTCCCTCCCCCCAGAACTCCTCCTCCAAATCGCCTCGAAGCTCCCCGACCGTGCCTCGCTCAACTCCTTCCTCCAAACAAACCGCTACACACATGCCCTCCTCCACTCCACCCTCTACACCCAGAACATCAGGCACGACAACTCCTCCGCCCTCATCTGGGCTGCTACCTGCGACTGCATCGCGACCGCTAAACATCTCATAAATTATGGCGCGGACATCCACGCCAAATCCGGGCGCGTGCCGACACGATCAGGCAAATCGGGCGTGCAGACGCCGTTCACGATTGCGGCGCGGGCTGGGCATATGGAGATGCTGAGGTTGTTGATTTCGAGTAATGGGGGCGTTATTCCAGGCATGCGTCACGAGCGGGAGAACGAGCGGGCAGGTGAGCGTTCTAAGTCTAACTTGTATGTTAATAGGCCGCTGTTAGCGATGGCGGCAGAAGAAGGGCAGGTGGAGGTTGTGGAGATGTTGCTTGAGGAATTCAACGTGGTTAATGTAGATTCAACGGATTGGATGAGGAGGACGGCGTTGTCTAGGGTGGCAATTGCGGCTGCTTCGAAGCATGGATATTTCCTTGGGTCATACGTCGACATGGAAGCGCAACAAAGGGCGAGGGAATTCGAGGAGAGGCTGGAAGCTGTCATGCGACTGCTGTTGAAGCATGGAGCGAATCCAAGACATGTAGATAAGGATGGCCGCATGCCGCTGGCGGTCGCGGCGGAAAAAAGGGGATCTGTAGCTATTGCGCGGCTGTTGTTGGAGTATGGGGCTGATCCAAATCAGGGAAGTTTTGAAGGGACGCCGTTGATGCTTGCCGCTAGGTCGGGGTGTATCGATGTGGTTCGCCTCCTGCTTGAATACTGCGATGCTGGGTGTGGTGTGGTGGATCTTGAGGCGCGAGATCGTAGCGGCGTCACGGCGATAGGCTATGCTGTCCGAGCTGGGCAAGGAGACATCGCCCGCCTACTTCTAGATCGCGGCGTGGATCCAGACTCCGTCGACGACAATGGGTATACGCCCATATTCTGGGCGGTGGAGGCTTGTCATGAGGAGATGGTGCGCCTTCTGCTCTCCCAGTCTCGTCCAGTCGATGTGAACCGCCTACAAGGGCCGGATCGCTATTGGACGGTGTTCACCAAGGCGATGGATTCGACCGAGCAGATTTTATGGCTATTACTGTCGCTCGGAAAGCATGTGGACATCAACTCGTGCACATCGGATGGTATGCCTGCGCTAGTAGTGGCGGCAGTGGAGTCTCAGAAGGGTGCAGCCCTCGTCCGGGTGCTCCTTGGGCAGAAGGGAATCATACCTGATCAAAGGGACCGGGATGGGATGACAGCGCTGGCACATGCGGTGCGCATGAGCAAGTATGAGGTTGCCCAACTGCTTCTCAAATCCGCGGACGTGGATGTTAATTCTAGAGATTATCATGGAAGATCGCCGGTGTGTCACGTCTACCCTTCAGATTCAACTATGGATATGCTCCATTTGTTGGTGAAGCATGGTGCCGATGTTGATGCCAGCGAGTACGGGGAAGGTCAAACGCTGTTCGAGCGCGCTTGGAGGAAAGAGGCACTAGAGACGATGGACTTTCTCTTTAAAGCCGGGGCGGATCCGAAGTTGGCATATAGCAGGACTGGAACTCATACTAACAGCGAGCTTCATCTATGTCACGATGCTCTATTTCAGTTGGCTATGCGTAATGGTCATGCCAGCTTGTTGAAACATATCCTCGCCATGGACTTGGACGACGATGAAATTGATCCAACGAACACTATGGACGAATTGGGAAGGACGCCGCTATGCTATGCTGCCCTGCATGGCTTTAAAGATCTTGTCAAGGTGTTGCTTGCACACCGCAGCACTGGGAGGGGTCGGAGCAAGAACATCCAACGGGCTTCCCTCCCTTTTGCACTGACTCTGGCGGCAATGAACGGACACGATAGGATTGTTCTACAACTGCTAGATGCAGGCGCCCATGGCCCCAAGTCTCACTCTGATCGGGGGTTCATGCGTCTGCTGAAGTCGATGGATGGCGGATATCAGGAGGTGATGAAGATGTACATGCGCTTGCACTCGCGCTCTAGAAAGGGCGGCAATCCTTCCTCTTGCTACCCCCCGTGGTTGCCATTATTCTTCGCCACCGTGTACGGGCATCAGCAAGTTGTGAAGACGCTTATTGCAAGCCAGCCTGGCATGAGGCTACGGACAGTAATGGATACTAAGGAAGTGGAGATGGAGATGGAGGATGAAATGGAAGTGGAAGTGGAAGAGGAGGGGGAGGAGTGGGGGGAGGAGGAGGAGGAGGGAGAGGGGGAGGAGGAAGAGGAGGAAGAGGAGGAAGAGAAGGAAGAGGAGGAAGAGGAAGAAGTCAGTAGAGTCATTGATATGACACCTTTGTGGCTAGCAGAGGAGTATGTATGGGCAACAGGCGGGGCAGTGTCTTCATCCGAGTTTGTGAGATATCAACCGGCGAGCACTCCATTCTCGGTGCGGTAGTGAGAATGTAGAAGAAACTTCGGTTGGACATGAACGTTCCTTTTTAAGATCGGGACCAATAGACGGGGGATTAAAATAAAACACAAATCCACATAAAATAATTAAACATCAAGTAAAACAAGATGAAAAGAAATTCTCTCGTGATGTTTCCTCAGCTATTTTTCTACATTTGCAAAGCAAGACAATCCAATAAACGACAGGGAGCAGTGGCTGGCTGCAGGTTGCCCACGACGGAGCTTTTAAACTAATATCAAGAAGCCAAACGCGCATGAAAAAGGAAAACAGATGACCGGAGCATACGAGAGGAATGAAAAGACACCCCTTGAGAGGTAGTTAGTTATGATGCCATACCTCGAGAATATCCGCTGTACTTTGTTCTTTCTGATATTTCTATTCTGACAATTTACGGGGTTGTGCAAGGACTGACGAAGTTAATCCACGGTTCAGCACCTTCAGCATCCGAAAGATGACCGGAATCAGACCGGGAAGGAAAAAAGACATCAGTGCGCGCAAATACATGAGACCGACCGCTTGCTTGTCCTCCATGCTCTGATTTATCTATTTCCACCTCTGATCAAATCTCAGCAGCTATGACGGCCTCGCTTCAGTCAAAACACCAAGAATAGCGGATAGAGTTTCTTTACGTGTGGCGGAAGATGGCTTCTGCTGTTGAGCTTCTTCTCAAGAAAACAAACCCCAATTTAGCAGATAACCACAGCAACACCCCTCTGCAAATGGCGGTGCGCCTTGCCCATGATGGGATCCTGCTTTTGCAGATTGTATGAAAGAAGGGACATGTTATGTAACTAAGCTGGAATGAAGAGGGGGTTTTTTGTCCATCCTTGTTCACTTCCACACCTCTGCAAGCTCTTCAACTTCACTTTCTCTGTGATTAACCTAAAAGCGTATTGTTGCCTTCGCCCTATGAATACCATTCACCCTTTTCATAGGACAAACGCCTAAAACTGCTGATGCTGGTTCTAGCACTTGTAACACATGAACGGGTGAAAGGATATGTTCTTCCACCCTAATCTTCCCGCCCGGCATGGTGTGAGGAAAGCAATGTCCGTTTGTTGGAGAGTGGTTAGGGAATCTGCTGCACTCTGAAACTTCATCGTGAATTCGAAGGTCTACCTTTCTGCATCTTCCGGAGTTAATAGGACAGGTGCCCTTCGAAGAATAGAATCGAAGACAGCCCGGGGCAATGACACTAGCCGGGAGAGATTTCGTCCCAGTGCGGGGGGATGGGATGCAATTTGGCAAGCGCCTCTCGAATACGACGCAGCCGTTGGCCCATTCCATAATCCATAATGTTATTTACAAGATCCCTACACGGTTGAATATCTGAAGCCTCCATTAGCGAAATGGCCTTGATCTTTGACATGATATAGCGCGCTTTGATATTAGAGTACCAGACAATATAAAATACGGCCATTCGTGACGAGACAGCTCCGACGAAAGCGACAGCATCCGTAGTCGCGGGGTCCTGGGAGGGGAAAGCCTGATTTAGAAACCAACGCTGAGATGCTACGCTGTGGGTACCACTCCCCGCGCATTGGTTCTCGGCACAATATAACGTGCCTCCGGTAGCTTCTGCCTTGAATTCAAGAGCTAGAAACGGAAGTATATTCTCTCTAGTTGGTTGGGTGTAGGGCTGCGCCGTCCGGTGGCAGATCACAGCCATCTCCTCGTCCTTCCAGCAAATCTCGCTTTCATAAGCATAGCCATAATGCCGGTCAGGTTTTGGTGCATCGAGATGGTGTAGATATTTGGGGTTCATTGGTAAGGGCTTTGTTGTCCACAGAATGTTGCCCCCTTCAATGACGCCAGGACGACTCACAGGGAACGCTTTGGTGTGTATGATGTTCATTACTTTTCCTTCACCATAGTTTATAAGATCTCCTGCTACCATCACCACCTCGTTAGTTTCTTCGTCCGACAGGGGCGGAGATCCTTCTCGCGGCTTGAGAACATATGTATTTAGCAGCTCCTTAATATCTGGTTCTTCTGCTATTGCTCTCCCAGTTAAATCCAAGGTAATGCCATTCCGGTGAACTGCTACACGGTACAAAGGATCCGATATGCTCAGCTTTGTGTGTGAAGAGGAAGAGACAGAATCACATTTCATTAAATCCTGTTGCGACATGTCGACCTCCAGCTCACAAGAAGGTAGTCTGAAGTCGGGTTGGTCTAGGGCCGGTGCAGAGAGCTTCTCAGTGCTCAAAAAAGGTGGTGCTGTATTCGGGCGGAGAATGATTTCCGGAATAGGAACATTCAACATCCAACGAGACACCGAGGATAACTGTTCCTGACAGCGTTCCTCCACCCGTAGATCTGAGTTGTCGTACTCAAAACGTTGTTTGAGCATTGTTGGTTGACGCGGCTTCGTGGGTTGACGCTCAGGATCAATGCTGGCAGGGGCTGCCGGGCTGCTTAGCGACGACGGCCTCACAGGCTGTGGGCAACGCACACCTTCAGCGGCCATCGTGAAAGATAAGTGAAAAGAGATTAACAAATATAACTCCTATGGAATCCAATGAATGCGGCCAGAGAGGAGGTTCAATGCTCTCGTCATTAACTACGGCGGCAGGTCAGATGAACTGACTCGAGTTGAGTCTACTCTCTGACGTTTGAAGTGCCCGACCCACAAGTCCGGCTGGATTGGGTTTGCCATACTGATTTCTTCTCTTTCAAGGTCGTGATGAGATGAGCGCAAAAGGAGGATTTCACTACGGGAATGAAAACGAGAGATGACTATTACATCATTTGTTCACATTGCCCTTGATTATGTAACTATCTAAGCTCTGACAGAGGGCGCATGCCGTAACTAGTTAGTCTATGGAGGCAAAACACTTCAAATTCGATTCCCGCTGCTGACAGACATGGAAACTACCATAATAACACAGTCCAGATAATGCAAAGTAAGTAAATAAAGAAATAAATAAAGTAAACCAAAAGGTTTGATATAAATATTCAGCCATGAGAACAGTCTTGGGGTGCTGGGCTATGTGGGTTTGCACGAGATCGAATACACCAACCTTTGCACCGAGCCTTCAGCGTATCGGGGAACGTGGTTCCCCATATTCATCAGGGTCATTGTAAACATCGTGTTCCGGTTCCCCTTCACCATTGAGTATTAACGATGCAAATTTCAATCCATGCGTCCAAATGTACATAGAATTAATGAATCCCTTCCTAATATATTTCCATGCTATATCATGAGCGCCCCATTTCCTAGGATCTTCAGAACGATATGGAGGTCCCCCGACGTCTGATATATCTGCACTCCGGCCACGCTTGACGATAGTTAGAGTTTCCCTTAGCCGTTCGTCATCAGCAAGAAGCCCTTCGTTCTCTGTAGTCCCAAATTTCTCTAGTAGTTCAGGACATGGGGCCGATTGGCCAGAGAGCTCGCGGCAAGCAGGGTCTAACACAGATCCTGGAACTCCGGGACATGTTGAGCGGTAAAATGACAACCGAAGCTCCCGAGTCTAGCCCATCTCGCCGTAGCAGAGATTCATGCCAGGCCATAGGCTGGGGTTTACGTTGAAACCAAACTTCATCTGAAAGCACATGGGGGGGGGGGCGCAATGTATTAAATGCCAAAATTGACGACATAGGCGTGATGAACCGGAGCGTTTTCCAGCCGTGTCCTTTCGATAGGAACATTTCAAGAGTAAAGTACGCAAATTCCGGTTCGGCATCCGCTATGATGGTAAGAGTGTCCAGACGGAGCCTGGGCAAAAGCTTGAGAATCATCGGAACCTCGTAGCGTACCGCCTCATCATTATAACCGCTGCGGTGAGGCGGCAACATCGCGACTGATCTTACCCGTGTTCTAACAAGTCGGATCTGCGTAAGGGTAGAGTCAGGGAGAGTAGAGAACTTGTCCATCAAGTCTTCTACATGTCCAAAGTTAAAAATGACATGTCTAAGCCAGAGGGACTTTGTTTCACTGTGGATCCGGCGACACGAACGTAGAATAGCCAGAGAATTGACTGCAGGTATTACAAATCGGTAATTCCGCGGATAGCTCGCCGAAAGTAAGTCTAGTTGAGGTGAAAAGAGTGGTATAGATCTGATCCATTTATCTCTCGCGGAAGCCAGAAAAACGGGCTGGCAGACTGAAGGTCCATTTCTTGGACTTGTAAAACGGGAGAACAGCTCATGACGGCTGGAAGTTAATTATCAAAAAGATTGGCTATATATATCCTCTCCTATTCTCTCAGCACACGCGGAGCAAATAATCAGTTATGCGGAGTACGCCTCACACATATATGCCTTCATATATTCACTTTCTCTTTCATGGATGGAGGAGCAGCTTGGAGGATAGCCCCACCATTTGCCATGTTATCAATTTTGCTATGGTCATGTGATGTATTTATCACGTGTAACTGATGTGCAAGTTCGTCTCCCAAATGAAGACAGATCATTGGAACTGAGCCTGCTGAGAACTTCTGTCCTTGCAATTCGAATAGAAGCTTCATAGAGCCTTACGACCTATAGATCCTAGGTACATAGACTTAGGATATGTCAGCAATCTCCTCCTTCCAAGCACGGTAACGCAAGACCATTATTGATTGGTCAGCTGCATGCGAAGCTTGCCTCCTCGTACATCCATGAAATCACAGGTTCCCCTTCAAGTAGCCAGGGGGGAGACGAGCGCGGCATGTCTTTGTAGGATAGCTTCATGGACAATTCTAGCAACCAGGCGAGCCACGGCCGGGAAAACTCGGTGTTACGACACGATCGCGGGGGGAAAAGGACGGTCCGAAGCACAGGCCAAATGCAGGTGTCAGTGACTCACAGGCGAGCGCGCCGATATGTAAACTGGTCGAACCCCGACAATACGCTGAGTTATTTTTTATATTTTCTTTCAGGGTTGATTGTCCAAGAAGGATGTGCCCAGCTGAAGATGTCAACCTTGATCAAAACATCAGCCGCCCATTAGAGTGGAGATGATGCAAGGAGCTTCAGAAGCTATCCAGGGGTGAGGAAGTATTTCGACAGAATCGAGACTATGTCCAAATAGTTTTGTTTAAGAATGCGTACGTCTTTCTATTTTATTTTATTTTTTATTTATTTATTTATTTATTTATTTATTTATTTATTTATTTATTTTTGGATCAATGCAGGGGGCAATCAGACTCAGTTAGACAGGATCGCATTAACGAGCAACACTCTGAAATTTATTTCGGAACATAGGTCTGCTATTCAGATATTCCCTCGGTCTCTAGTGGACCTGCAGGCCTCCAGAATCTACCATTCACGTCTAAAAGAGTAGACTATGGTATCTACCTTTCTCGAACAGATACTCAGAAAATTCACACCCGTAACATACTCACAATGTGTATTATCGATGTGGATGATCACAGCATCAATTAAACCGGGTCATCTGACTATATCAAGTGGCTTCCCCAGCTGACAGTGGTTGAGTGCAAAAAGACTCTACCTGGAACAGATGGCATGGCGCAACTGCGTATCTGGATGGCCACTCTACGCAAGCTGCTGGAAGGGCTCATGAAACAGCCCGAAAAGGCCAGGAGCGCATTTGAAACCAATGCCGTGTTTGGAAGTCAAAGGCGTCAATTGGAAGTTGTGTTGGTGTTGTGTTGGAGGTAAAAGAGAGACTGTAAGCCGCTTCAATTTGACTTGCGATGAATAACAACCGTTGATTTGGTTTTTCTGCAGATGCTGTTCGGACCCTAAACACCTCGGCTCAGCAGGGGCATGAATTGGGTTTTGAAGGCATTGCGGGAGACGGTTAGAGACGGTCGGGATGATTATTCACCGTGATTTAAGGTAACGATTCAATGGGAAGGTTAGAATTTGCTATCATCATCAACAGGAGTGGCTTTCCTGATAAAGATGATTTTGTCGTCTTGATGTGTAGAATCAATCCTGGACTTCAGTGGAAGAGAAATGAGGTTCAGGAATATCGGGGCACTAAACATATCACGTGATTTGAACATACTCGGGCCGACGTATTTCCAGTCACGGTTGGAGAGCCTCCCAATGCGAAACTCTTGCGAGGTTCTTGTTATTGTGCAAGTCACTGGAGAGGATGTGCATCTTGTCGTACACAAGCTTCCATCATTGCTGCCTCCTGTACCAGATTTGACTAATATTAGGAAGAGAGTGCCCTCTCACCATATTCGAGGTTTCCCTTACTTACATATTCCAACTGCCGTCAAGTTTGAAGAAGGCCATGTTGACTTACTCACCATACATGAAGTGATGACAGGGAATAACGAGAAGGCATAAAGAGAACAGGATGCATGGGTTCTGATGAGTATTTCATGAAACTTTGCATCAAATGATCTGAGCAATATTTGGGGTTTGAGTAATTGCTTAGTCCATCTATTTCAACACACACACACAAAGTGGCAACTTGACCTCTACATTGACATCCTGCTGACCAAAAATATAGCTTTTTAAATACTCATCTACCCACAACAGGCATTTATCTCAGAAGCGTAACCACTTCTCACTTCCACACCCACCCCACTGTCAAATCTACCATCATAAATCTGTCTGATGCTTGTGCATTTGAACTGCTATAATATGAGAATCATGGTAGCAACTGATGAAAATTCATGTCATCACTTGAATATCTTTAGAGACAATACATTCTGACATAGTATTTTTGTCATATCCTATATGTTGTGATTAAACAAAACAAAAAGAAAAAAAACAAGAAGAAAAAGAAGAAGTTAATGAATTAAAAATTTATTTTATTAAACTATACAAATAAAAGAACAACTTGACAGCTCAAATTCAATAATCATATTATTGTTCTAGTTAATCATTGATTATTTTCTTGATATATATCTGATATTCATATAACTACCAGTGATTACCCAGGTAATAAAGAGTTCAATTATTCATTGTCATTTAAAAATTTCAAATAATATTGTATTTCTATATTTTAATTTTGATTGATATAAATATTATTTTCTCAGCAATTAATCTGACAACTTTTTTTAAATTCAGATATTATTATATTATGTTTCAGATCTTTTAATAATATTTATCATAATATATTTGATTTAGACAATACACTCTGAAGTTGATAAATTTGATTTATTTAGTTAGTTATTTGCTAATATATTCTTGCATTAGATTTGATACTTTTAATTCATCATTTCTGAAATAGCAAAAAAAGTTATTTCAAAAAAAAAAAAAAAAAAACCTTATATATACTATAAAATAGACATCTAAAAAATCAAGCTTTTTTATAACATTGATTTAAATCTATATTTACTGTTAATCTAGACTTTCATATACTCACTTTAAAACTATAAAAACACTTATATCTAGTGACTGTAAAAAATGTGATGAATAAAATAATATATAAAGTATAATAATTTTATTATTCTTATCAATTTAATTAAATTCTGAGATAAAATGACTATTGTATTTATTCAGAATAAGAAGAATATAAAAGTCAATCTGATATAACTTTTCTTTTGAAATAAATACTTATATAAATATTTTAAAATATATTTCATCTGTAGTTCAATTATTAAAACTAATACCAAGTCTTTAATCTATAAAAAGATCTTTAAATCATCTTTTCAGTAGATTTTGACCTTTAAAAATAATATAAAATAATATAACTCATCTTAATATATTAACTGACTCAATTATAATAACTCATTCTCAATTTTCAGAATATAGTAGTTTAGTTCAGTCATAATATTTACTACTAGTAATAATCTTAGTAGTTGTATAAAGTCTCATTGCAAAGTCAATCTGTAGAGAGTTAAGCTCTAAGAACTAGAGACTAGTCCTACTATATAACAAGGACAAATTGCTTGAGAAAGAGAAGAAAAAAATGAGATGAGAACACAAGCTTAAGCAAGCTCACATAGCATGATCACATGCACACATGCAGCATGATCATGTGCGCATGTGCAAACAATGACTAGGCTGAGTCAGTCAGTTAGAGTGAATCTAATAGTTCAGCCTCTTATAATACTCTCTTTCTCTCTCTTTGTTGCAGGTCTTTATGACTATTTAAAGCTCTCTTTACATCTAATTTTGCCTGCTGAGAGGCCTTTCAAGTGTTCAAAGTCTTTGCTTCTTGTAGAAGACTTATATCATTCCATGTAGACTCAGCTCAATCTACTCATTTAACAAGATATTGCTTTTTCCTCTGGTAGGTTTGTTCATCTCAAATTTTCTCAATATCAAACTCAGGTCCTTTTGAGATCTCTATAATGAGTGGCTGTCAGTCAGTTTGTCTCTGACTAGGCAAAGAATCTGTTGCTGCTGCATGTAATAGCTTTACATTAAAGACATTGTGAATGTCAGATGAGACATTCAATTAATAAGTATGAGATTCTATCTTTTCTAGCATAGTATATTGATTGTATTTCACATTCAGCTTCTTGCATGAGTGATTAGTTCTCATGTTCTCTAAGCTCAACCAGATCTTATCTCCAGGTTGAAAGCTTGAAGCTGAGTCTCTTTATCTATTCACATAATTCTCTTGAGATTGCTGAGCATCTGTCATTTTTACTTGAGCTCACTTCAACACTTCATGAGTCTTCCTTATATAATCATCTGCAAACTCAATGGAATTATGTGATGTTTCAACAGAGATTGCATTAGCTATATCAATAAAGAAGACATGAAAAAGATGTATTAAAAAGAATAAGCTCATATCTATTGAGGCAACATCTCTATTATTGATGATCAGCTCTGTCAGAAAGAGTCATTCACACTAGTCATTCTATTAAAAGCTAATATACTTGTGTAGATAGATTTTCAAGGTCTAATACATTCACTCTGTAGCTCTGTCAGTCTCTGAG